TTGGACTTGAAAGCCTTCTGGAATGATTAAGTTGAGTAAAAGGTACTACTGTAAATATATTTTTTATTGTGAATGAGTTAAGGCATGACATAAAAACTAAAAGACGTACATCACCTGGTTTAGGGCAAAGTGTGTGGCTTTGGCATGCTGCTCTTACCTTATTTTTTGTACTCTGTATGTTATGCTAAATACTAAATTAAAACAATTTGATTCTTATATAAAGTGTTTCTGAAGGAATTCTGCTTCTCATTTTCACGGTGACTAGTAAAAAGAAAACAATGAGGAAAAAAAAAAAAAAAAAAAATGCCCAACAAAATTACTGTAGCTTCTAGCACGAGTTGGAGAATACACACAAAAACCCTACTGTAGAGTACAACTTGTCTCCAGGCACATTTTTACTACCAATAATAACTTGCTTTACTAGGAGTACACGTATAAGGATTTTTCATACAGAAGCCCAAAAAAAAAAAAAAAAAAAAAAAAAAAACAAACCTGTTGATTCTTGGGCCTTTTCCAGGAAAAAAAAAATTGTTGTTATCTTCCACAAATGAAGATATGATTTAATAAACCTAAAATTCAGATAGACAGACTGGTATTATTGGCCAAGAGCAAACAAAAGAATCATCCCCAGAAAAAGAATCATCCCAAAAATTAAGAAAACGAAAATAACTACAAGAGAACCCCAACTTACAAACAAGTTTTGTAGGGTAGTGCTGAACCTCTTAGGCCTTGCATTGCTGGGGAATGGGAGGTATTCAGATTTATCTGAGGAAGGGGAAGGTACTTCCAATTCCATGGATCAAGGCCCTTCACCGCATCAAGGCCCTTCTTGAAGGGGCAACTTTCATGACTTACTTGTAAGAAAACAGTTTGAATAAAATAGTTAGGTTTTAATTATGTTAGTACCGCAGCTAGGTGGCTGTAAATAGTGATATGTGTAAAAGATGGTGAAAGTGTTTTTTTTTTTTGGGGGGGGGGGTCACTCTGCCTCGGTGGGAGACAGCCAGAGTGTTGAGAGAACAAAAATTTAATTCATAAGAGGCGTTTATAAGCATGGGTGAGTGAAACATTTATGTTTGTAAGGTGGGATCCTCCTGTGCTACCTTCATCCTGCCATTCATTACCCAGGAGAGAAACTGAAAGTAAGAGTTAAAAATATTCTGGCAATCTATTTCATCATCAACAGATATCAAGCCTGGAATATGAACAACAATAGTCCTAAATACAAATTCTACCCTTGGAAACAAAAGATTATTATTATTAGTATTATTATTATATTCACAAAATGCACTCAACTTGTATGGGCAGACACAAAAGAATGCAATGACATTGGTCCCTCTTACAAACTAAGCACTACAGTTAATTCCCTGGCAGAACATTACCTGAATATTTATCTATTATACCTGATGGAAAAGCTGGACTACTGTCTTCCTTCAACCTGGCAGCTAATAATCTGGTAATTCATAAATCTATATTCTATCTACTGTAATCTATATTTCACCTACTGTAATCTATATTCTATTAACTTCCTCTTGTATAACCAAGCATGAAGTGTTATGCAGAATAAATCTCTCTAAGCATTAATACACATATTGAATTATTTTATATACAAACATTCTTTGGTCAAGTTCAATATTTTTGTAACCAAAGATGAAGACTGAAACAATTAATAAATAAAACAGCACTGTATCTATAGATAATAAAATATGAAAGACTGAGGAATTGCTATGCAAAGCAATAACATTCTATCTATTACTACTTTTTTAAACTTGGGGGAAAAAATATGCATCATGTTAGTAGGCAATGATAGTGATCAAAATCAGCACATGATCCGTCATCTGTTAGTAACATGTTAGTAAACTACACTGAGCGGTGGTCGCATCCACGGCGACCCCCAGGAGTTTACGTGGCCACCTCCTCCCGTTTGTTTTGCTCTTGGTGAAAAATCAAATCGATAAAAAACAAAAGTGAATGCGTGTACTAAAAAAAATTTTCAGATAAAAAAAACAAAAAAAACAGGCATTCTTATCTTGCTAAGGGTCCAATTAATCATTATGATATAGAAAAAGTATTTTAGCATGCAACTTCCAATCACAGTACAGTACCAGACAAATATGGTATTTCAAAAACTAAATCCTCATTTACACTTTTGAGCAATGTGTACCACTTTAGCATTTAGAATTTCAGAAAAGAAAATTTAAAGAGACATTATAATCACTAGCTGTGCAATGCAATCTCACAAGGAACAAAAGTGTTACACTATTACCATTGTAATGTATGGTAGAGTACAGAAATCAAAACGAGGAAAGAGAAGCCATCAAATTATATGTAGAAATGGTCAGCATATGGCCCCTCTTCATTGTAGCAATAACTTTCAGTAACATATTCAGAAAACCCACTACATACATGGATTAAAAAAATTGTTTAACAAGTTGTATCATTCAAATAGCCATAGTATGTTTACTGCCTTTATATCTTCAGGTAGCAGCTATCACAAACTGAGAAATTATATTCATTTTTAAGTTAAAACAATCTTCTTTGTACATGTCATTCACATGTGCTTCAACCAAAATAAAGTATGCATTACTTTCCCCAATATATTCAACTGACCAATACTTAACTCACCAGCACAGTACTCTCACAACAGTTAGTTTCAAAACTGTCTTCCTTAACTTGCAAATTATACTTGAATAGCATCAATTATGTTGCTTAAATTAACTTTTAAAATGGTAGTATCTTGTAGCAGTGACATTCCCATGCCCAGCTGTATTGCACCTTTGTCAAGTACAGTGACTGCAAAAACCAGTGTTTAAAACTGAAATAAAATGTCCACGAAAATGTGGTTAACTTCGTTAAATATTAATGAAAAAAATTATGTAAAAAAAGTTAAAAGTGCTTTAAACTAGACACACTAAATGTATATCACACCACCAGTATAATGGAGTTATATTTACCATTTTAGGTACATTCAGAGTTTCGATAAAGTAGCATCTATCTTTATCTCGATAACCCATTAACTTCCACAAGAACAGAATTTCAAATTTTGCATCAGTCTGAAGATGAATATTATTATTACAATCAGAATTAAGCACTAAACCCTGAAGATGTATAGCAGCCACAATATTTGAAAGCCACTAAAGATGACTTTGAGCACCGGGATATCCAAGATATAGATAGAGAACAGGCTGGCTACAAAATACACAAAGCACCCAGTACCAAAGTATAAGGAATATATTTTCAACCATAGTTATACAATAACCATCTACATTTTTATCACCTGTGACAGACAAAATACTTATAAAAAGAACCACATATTGTACATCTTTTTTTAGCATTATTCCTTCACAAAACCTATAAAAGATAAGATCACATGGTAGCAAGTACAACTTCTTATTGGCCCAGGTTAAAACACCAGACTTGCCTAACCCATATACATGACCTACAGAGAGAATTCCACAAGAGAAGAGGAGATCCAAATTACCCAGATACAACACCTAGTAATAAATATGAGCCTCGGGTTATATGCTAGAAAAACACTAACCCCAAATACACTTGAATGTGACTACTATACATGAAACCTTTAATACATACCAATATGACATGGACCTATCACATCAAAGTAAATGGCTAAAAAAAAAAAAAAGTATTTGGATGCACTAAACTACTAGAGAACATAAATATACCCAGAAACTAGTATACTAGAGAACAAATACAGCATATACGAGACAGGATGAGGACAGACTGACTGCAAGTATAACATTCATGCCAAGATGACATGTCAAATAGGCCACATACATGTTTGGAAAATTTGGCTATGCACGTAAGTCTACAAATACATTCATTACAGATTATCACAAATATATTACTGTAGTAGGCCAATAAAAGTGCATAGCAACAGTCTGCTTATCAAAGATATGCATCTCTATACTTTCTAACAATTTGTTTTTAATAGAAAGCATATACTGTACATGTGATTACTTAAAATATTTGGACACGAGGATGGTCTCTTCAAAGACACAAATGAAAATATTAATTTCAATTAGCTTTCACAATATTAATTTAAAATGCAAAATATATCCTTTGTAGATACAGTATTTCATTTTAAATAGTATGTGCAACTTCCAAAAAAAAAAAAGAAAAAAGTCACGAGTGTGAAAAGTTTGTACGAGGAAAAGGAATTAACCTTACAATGCAAACCAAAACTACTTGACCGGACAGTATAGTTGCACTTCTTAACCAAGGAAGTTAATGGTATGCAGCCATAGTAGAAAACTTTTAACAGTTACATACTGTTAAAGCTCTCCTGTAGGCAATCTGATTACAAAATATCAAATAATGTGTTTTAACTTCAATGTACTGACAAAGGTGCATAATTATGTATTGATGTCCATTATATATATTTGTATACATCCAGGACATGTCTGGACATGGATATAACTATATAACAGCTATACCTTATGTCAAATCTCCAACAGAACAGACTTGTGAATGTCTCACGTGCTGGATAACCCCAAGCCACAATCATAGATTTGTACATGTAGTCCTGAGAATGTCAATATAATCTTTTTTTTTTTTTTTAATTTCTACGTTGTAGCAAAGGAAACATAATACACAGGGTTGTCACCCAAAATACTGGTGCATTCTCACTGAGGTATGAAGTGCTACTAAATAAAAGCTTCGATTTATGAAAAAATAATAGCTTCTATGTGTGGGACCTCTCTTAAATCTGCAGGTACCTACTAAAAAGAGACTGAAGGGTCAACAGGGAATTTGCCTCACTCTTATCCTTTGAACTCTTAAATAAGGGTCGGCTGACAATGGAATCACAGTTGAGGGGACACACTTGAGCATTTTCAAATTAAAACCTTCCTTACTAATGAAATACTAGTTTTGGAAATTATCCAAACATTTGCTTTATGTTAAAGCTTACAGTCAAAGCACCATCTGAGAAAACAACTACATATTCATTTTATATCCAAAGTGATCCTGTATTACTAGTTACTAAACTATGTATACCTTGTACCATCTTTGTACCTAGTACCTTGACAATTACTACAGAGCCCATAATTTGTTAAGCAAGTAATCCATACCCTACAGCTGCATGTAATTCATACCATACAACTGCATGTAATCCATACCATACAGCTGAAAATCTCATATATACTTCACTAATAATAAAAGACTTCAATTTGAACTGCTCAAGGTGCCTTCTTTCCCACCAAAGAAATGTGCAGCTTCATTTCAAAACACGCACATTCTTCGAATAGGTACAAGGGGCACTTAGGAGATAAGAAATTTTACCCATTATTAGTGTGTTTCATTGTATTAAATTTATCACCAGCTTAGCATTATCTAAGCAAAAATTGTCAACAGGATATTAATTCTACTGAGATCAAGCTACTGTGAATTGGAAAATTTAACAATTAAGACAATACATATAATGCTAAAGCTATCACATCAGGGATATGTTTACCAAGCTGGCAGGGAAACCACTCCAACCACCCACATTTTTTTTTTGACGTACTTGTAAGTGCCCCCTGCAGTGACGCGCAGACCTTAAACTCTGGCCAAAGCTCTTCGCCCAAACCACTGGTACCTATCATTACGCAGATTTTTTTTTTTTTCAACAAGTCGGCCGTCTCCCACCGAGGCAGGGTAATTACCAGTATTCCACTTGAACTTCTGAGGTGCCATACTCGGAGACGAGCGTATGAATTGCGGAGGCATCTGGGCATGAGTGTAGTGAGGAGCAGCTGTAGGAAGATAGATGAAACCAGAAGAGCTTAACAATGGCATGTGTGGAGGGGGAGGTGTCCGACTCAAATTTAGCCATGACTGAGTCTTATAGAAAGGTGGTGAATAAGATCCATTTTGATGGTGGTTGCTATGATGATTAAGGTGACCAGAGCTGTAATGATTGTGATAACTGCCAAAGGTTCTCCTCTCTCGGTTACTGCCATTTCCGCTAACTCGACTGGGTGAAGTCTGGATCTTTGTACCATACCCTGGATAGGAAGGGCTAAAAAGCTTCTTGGTGGGTGTAGACTGAGTGCTCGACGGTGGACTTTGTATATTACTCGAATCCAATCTTCTCTCCTTCAACACATCCATTGTCTGCAAGTCAATATTAAGATACAACCATTGAGCAAGGTTTCCAAGACCAAAATACAATAGGATATAGATTATTTTCATTTATTGTTTAATTTTTCAGTCCATGTGTGATTTATATTTTTGAAGATCAGTGTCACAGCATAAATAAAAGCTAATAGTGCAAACTTGGGAAATAAAACTTACTGATAGAGGAAAAAAAAAAAAAAAGAGATCATGGAAAACAAGGTACATGTACAGGAATACTTTGATGCCACATTGTACTGTACTTAATTTTCCCACCATTACTTCTTGGATCAAGATGCTCTTGCTATCCTCCTAGTGTTGCACACTCACACTTACAGTCTACCTCACAATCCACATTCATCTGTATTCCTCACAACCAACTTTCATCGGCCTTTTTCACAACCTACATTCATCTGCCTTCTGCCCAATCTACATTCATCTGCCTTCTTCATCACACACTTTCATTCAACATTCAACAACTTACCATCAATTTCACGTCTGCAACATGCCATACTGCTCCCTGATCTATCTTTTCTTTCTAAATCCTGAGATGGCACTACATTCCCAAGTATTGCTCACCTGTGAACCTCAATACAGACAGCTGATCTATGAATTCCTCTCCCTTTCTAAAGCTACGTACTTCATTCTTTGTACAATTATTACTGGGTAACATAAAAATATCTTTCCATGTATTTTCACAGTTCTTAACACTACAACTGACTGGTTGTAATATTAATTCATTCCCAGCACACCTTAAACTAAGCTATTCCACAAACCTTTAACATGCTAGACGGTGTCGAACTTGGCCGCTCTATCTGCGAGAAGTCAAAACTTTCAATGAAGTTTTCCTTGTTACTGTCTCTGAAGGATGCAACAGTACAACACGACCCCTTCTGCTCTCCAAACCTACAGCACACCTCTTCAGGGTCCACCAATATAGTCAGCTCGACAGGAAGGTTTAAATCCTTATACTTTAGTCCACAGTCCCTTGCAGCTCTCTCAATGGTTGGCTCCTTCCTGGTGTTTTCATTCACTCTATAAAAATATGCTACAATAATTCTAAATTGGATGACATTTCTACCAATATACCAAACAAAATGAAAGCCAAGAATTTAAAATGAAATACATTAATCCATAATTATGTAAATCTAAAATATATTCTAAAAAAAAATCAGGTTAAATTGTCAAAAATGATGTCACTTAAAATATGAAAGAATTCATCCTTATGAAGCTTTTTTTCTAACAATACAACACCATTAACAAGTGAGATGTAAGCCTTAGCTAGAGCCAATCCAACTACAATTTCCAAAGATGGATACAAGGATAACTCACCCTGTAGAGGCAAATTTTAAGATAACCCTTAATGTAATCAATATAATTTTATTGACAATATACATTATAAATTTGCTGTAATAAGTACATCATTGTTATGGGCATATCCCACAGTTTAAAAAAAATATATACAAAAATGCAAACAGTAGAACATTTGAGTGGAAATATTTTGGTGCTGTGACCCTGGAGTGACCAAGGTCCTAGTTGTGAGGGAAAAGTAGGCGTAAGTGGGGTTAAGGTTGTTCAGGCAACCAGGAACCATTAGCGAGTTACGTCACGCACCCCCCCCCCTCTGGCGGGCTGGGGCGAAAGTAGTTCTTGGTGTCTGATTTGTTCAAATTTCTACTCCTGGTAATATTGACCTTACCTGGTGTGGGTTGAAGTTTTGGAGAGTCACTTCACCTCACCTCTTCTCCTATCAGGTAGGGTGATCTACAGGAGTATTACTGTTTATTCCTTTCTTTTGTTTGCTGGTTACCAGTAATGATTTTGGCATTTATCATTCTTTTCCATTCTTAAATGTTATATTATCATGACCATTGGTAACCAGTTTATTTTTTCTTATTACCAGCTCTGTTCCTGGCGTGGTCATCCAGGATAGACGCCAGATAAAGGAGCAAGACATGTGTTAATGAGACTTATTAACATTATTGGACTACTACTGGCCCTTACCTGTTCTACTTGTGGTGCTCCATCCAAGTGGTAGGAGATTCTAAAACATCGGACTATCACCATCCGCCCAGGATAACCTACATCAATAATATCAGATCTATCCCGGGCCTTACCTACTCCTGCCCAACTACAAGAACCGAAGGCCATTTTTTTTTTATTATATTTAAATTTTAAGTAAAATCCTCAAAAATCATTATTCTTATTTTTCCTAGTCGTTTCTTTATTTATTTTTCCATTAGTTTCTTTTGTTCAGATGGAAGGTGTTCCACTGACACTAGTGTTTGCACTTTGTCTCTTATTTTAACCATTTGTCAGTAACACATACTATTTTTACAAGGCACATAGTAGTAGTAGTAAGCTAAACAGATTTAGCCTAAGATGACTACCAGAAAAAGTCAACTCTAGATATTACAAAGAATACATTTGGGAGAATATGTAAAATCAAACGAGTACATACTTGTAGCAATTATAATATTAAAACTACCTACATTATTACACCACCTTGGGTAATCTATCTACTTTTCAACAGCTTTGGCAGCAAACACTGATTTATCAATGAAATGAGTTTTAAATAATTTGAGGGGATTTAAGAGTAATTCTAAATTCTCAATTCTTCAAAATCAATGTCTCCCCCCCACTCCAAAAAAAACAGGTGAGGGGGGAAAAGTCCATTATATAGCCTATCTAACAAAAACCCCAATGGAAATAAGTCCTGTTGTCTGCCTTTTTGGGGTTATCCTAGGTAATTTACACTATGTATGATAACTGTACTTATGTGTACTTGTGCTTAAATAAACTTCCGTACTTACAGAAGGAGCAGGACCCTATTGTCTCATTCTACAACCCCAGCAATTTTTATACGTATACCAGACACAGCCATGGTAAAAGTGTGTGATTGCAGGGCAATTATTTATTCTGATGACATGTTGCTTAGTGTGGAGTGTTATCAATAACATTATCCAGTTCAATAACAAACAGAAAATACCATCAGAAAAAAAAAAAAGACTTGCTGTGGCAACTTTCTCTCATTACCATACTTGTCTGCACCATTTGCAAGTCAAACTCTACAACCACTACTGTGCCCTTTGGCCTTGCACCCTTCAATCATTTTATACATATTCCATGTAGCTTACCTTAAACATCGATACCCTTGGCCTTGCCACGGTCGTTCAGGATGCCAATGATTGCTAAATCGCTCTTCCAGCAGCTCTCTCAATCTCTCTTCAAACTTTGCGATCATATTTTCTGACAGGCTGGCATTTCCACCGATGAGTTTCGAGATAAAGAGGGACTGCTGCAGAGATCTCTTCTTTCATTGTGGAGTATGGCAGAGTATTCCTGAGTAATGGTCAACTGGCAGTTTTGCACGGGGCACATTAAACACATGGGGAGACTAAAGATATAAAAGTTCGTGAGGCACCAGTTTCCTTGTCTGTGGAGGGAAAGAGAGAGTGAATTAGATTCTCATGATCATCAAACTGTACTGAAAAGCACTTGGAGAAGAATTAAGACTTTGAGATTCTATTTTTCAAGATTAATTTTGCTGGAAATAAACACTACCTCAATGTACTCAATAAAAATGGAGAAAACCCTTAAACAGCCATATAATTTGCAGGCTAAAATAACTTACTGGAGATATTTGATAAGATATTGGGGATGTTGATTACTGAAAGGATATTTATTCCCCAATGGGATTACATAGTTATAAATGTTCTCATAGATAAAATATAACCAGCAGGATGCCACACGCTTGCCTGCTTCTAACTTATATACAGGCAAATAACATGCCCAAAGGAATAAGAACTACTCAATAGCAATGTTTGTAGATGTAAAAACCAATGTAAAATAAGTAATAAATGCAAATCCCTTTAATTTGAAACTTTTACAGTTTAATGTAAGATAAACCAGTAGTCAAAGCATGTAGGCCTACTGACTCATTGTTACAGGTCCTATTAACCAACCAATGTAAGATAAACCAGTAGTCAAAGCATGTAGGCCTACTGACTCATTGTTACAGGTCCTATTAACCAACCAATGTAAGATAAACCAGTAGTCAAAGCATGTAGGCCTACTGACTCATTGTTACAGGTCCTATTAACCAACCAATGTAAGATAAAACCAGTAGTAAAAGCATGAGGCCTACGATTTCTTTGTTACAGGTCTTTTAAACCCAACCAATGAAGATAAACCAGTAGTCAAAGCATGTAGGCCTACTGACTCATTGTTACAGGTCCTATTAACCAACTGTTGCGGCCCCTCCCAAACTAGCGGTTAAATAGTTAACCTGCGGCGGCAGTACCACTGGGTGCGTCATCAAACCCAATGTGGGGGCTGCTGACCCGGCCCTTAGAGCAGTAAGAGCCTGAGTGCCTCACGGTGCACATCTAAGCAGTAGGTACCTGACCACCTAAGGGTACAGTCTACTGGCTTTAGTAACAGTATGTACCTGAGCGCCTCAGGATAGAAACCTAAGCAGTAGGTACCTGCCACCTAAGGGTACACGTTTTATTTGGCTTCACATTAAGTACCTAAAACCCCTCAGGGTTTACACGTCTATGCAGTAGGTACCTGACCACCAAAATCGTACCTATTTTACTGGCGTTAGAAAAAAACCGCTAAACCGCAGCTCACTGAGTCTGTTGGCCTCAGTTACTTGACGGCGCATTCAGTGAGCTTGCAGCATGGTGTTCGGCTGCGGTGTGTCAACCGCCTTTGGAGGGGATTTACTGGACTACCGGTGATGTCTGTGGACTCACCGTTCTCGTTGATCAACTGTGGGCCGGAGTCGTCAGATGCTGTTTAGTTGGACATTACATGAAGAAAAGGTTGGAGTGTTACACTGAACTGGGCCAGGACCGTAGTGTGACACTGAGGGACGTACGATGGAGTGGAACACTGAGATATGCACAGGACCGTAGTGGAACATGAGATGAAAAGGGTGTCGTGGGGACACTGAAGATGGCCGGGTTTTTGTTTTACACTGACGTGTCGTGTGACTGACTTCGTGTCGTGAGGGCAGTTGATTGTAATTTATTATTATAAAAATGTTTTTTATAATTTATTGTTTTAGCATGGGAGTATTAAATATATAGTGACAGTAGTGTAAAGAGTTGTACCCTGTTTTGGGTTATTAATTATATTTTAGAAAAATGTGATTATAATTTATTATAGTAAAACATGTACATATTATTATTATATCTTTGTTCAAATACCTCTAGCCCAAAAGATAGTTGATTTACATATATTAAAGATTAATTTTTTTTAAATGTGTGTATTTATGTATCCCAAACTTTTATTAAAAAAGAAGTAAATCTATTAACATCTCTTTTTTTTAAAAAAATTACTTTTTTTGTAATATATGAGTGGCCTGTCCGGGAGGATAATGATTATCTAGAATGATTTTGGACGATTCATATCCGGGGATGATGGTTCGGGATACATATTACATTGATCTTTGTGTGTCGGTCCTTTTGTGGTGGGGGTGTTGCGGCCCCTGCCAAACTAGCGGTTAAATTTGTTAACCTGCCGGCGGCAGTACCACTGGGTGCGTCATCAAACCCAATGTGGGGGTGCTGAGCCGGGGCCTTTTGAGCAGTAAGAGCCTGAGTGCCTCACGGTGCACATCTAAGCAGTAGGTACCTGACCACCTAAGGGTACAGTCTACTGGCTTTAGTAACAGTATGTTTCCTGTGCGCCCCAGGATACGCACCTAAGCAGTAGGTACCTGCACACCTAAGGGGTAACGTCTACTGGCTTAACATTAAGTACCTGAAATCCTCAGGGTACACGTCTATGCAGTAGGTACCTGACCACCGAATCGTACCTATCTACTGGGGTTAGAAGAACCGCTCACCGCGCTCACTGAGTCTGTTTGGGCCCCAGTTACTTGACGGCCGCATTCAGTGAGCTTGCAGCATGGTGTTCGGCTAGCGGTGTGTCAACCCCCTTTGGAGAGGATTTACTGACTACCGGTGATGTCTGTGGACTCACCGGTCTCGTTGATCAAAATGTGGGGCCGGAGTCGTCAGATGCTGTTTAGTTGGACATTACATGAAAAAAAAGGTTGGAGTGTTACACTGAACTGGGCCCGGACCGTAGTGTGACACTGAGGGACGTACGATGGAGTGGAACACTGAGATATGCACGGACCGTAGTGGAACACTGAGTGAAAAGGGGTGTCGGGGACACTGAAGATGGCCTGGTTGTAGTGTACACTGAACAGTGTCGTGTGACTGACTTGTGTCGTGAGAGGCAGTTGATTGTAATTTATTATTATAAAAATGTTATTTTAATTTATTGTTTTAGCATAGAGATATAATATATATAGTGACAGTAGTGTCAAGAGTTGTACCCTGTGTAGGGTTATTAAATTTTATTTTAGTAAAATGTGATTATAATTTATTATAGTAACATGTACATATTATTATTATATCATAGTTCAAATACCTCTAGACCAAAGATAGTTGATTTACATATATTAAAGATTAAATTTTTTTTAATGTGTGTATTATGTATCCCGAACTCTTTATTACAAAGAAGTAAATCTATTAACATCTCTTTCTTTTAAAAATTACTTTTTTTGTAATACCAACCAATGTAAGATAAAAGTAGTCAAAGCATGCAGGCCTACTGACTCATTGTTACAGGTCCCATTAACCAACCAATGTAAGATAAACAGTAGTCAAAGCATGTAGGCCCACTGAATCATTGTTACAGGTCCTATTAACCCAAAAAAAATGTAAGATTTAAAACCCGTAGTCAAAGCATGCAGGCCTACTGACTCATTGTTACCCGGTCCTATTAACCAACCAATGTAAGATAAACCAGTAGTCAAAGAAAGTAGGCCTATGACTCATTGTTACAGGTCCTATTAACCAACCAATGTAAGATAAACCAGTAGTCAAGCATGCAGGCCTACTGACTCATTGTTACAGGTCCTATTAACCAACCAATGTAAGATAAACCAGTAGTCAAAGCATGCAGGCCTACTGATCATTGTTACAGGTCCTTTTAAACCCAAACCAATGTAAGATAAACCAGTAGTCAAAGCATGCAGGCCTATGACTCATTGTTAAGGTCCTATTAACCAACAATGTAAGAAAAACCCAGTAGTCAAAGCATGCAGGCCTACTGACTCATTGTTACAGGTCCTATTAACCAACCAATGTAAGTTAAAACCAGTAGTCAAAGCATGCAGGCCTACTCACTCATTGTTACAGGTCCTATTAACCAACCAATGTAAGAAAAACCCGTAGTAAAAGGCATGAAAGGCCTACTCACTCATTTTTTACAGGTCCTATTAACCAACCAATGTAAGATAAACCAGTGGGTCAAAGCATGTAGGCCTACGGACTCTTGTTAAAAGGTCCTATTAACCAACCACTGTAAGATAAACCAGTAGTAAAAGGGCATGTAGGCCTACTGACTCATTGTTACAGGTCCGTATTAACCAACCACTGTAAGATAAACCAGTAGTCAAAGCATGTAGGCCTACTGACTCATTGTTACAGGCCCTATTAACCAACCACTGTAAGATAAACCAGTAGTCAAGCTGTAGGCCTACTGACTCATTGTTACGGGTTTCCTATTAACCAACCACTCCCACTCACTACCTCTTCAATTAATTTTAAAACCACCCAAAGTTCTCATTTCATTGATTACAACTTTGTGTTTGTTGCACTCATCCATAACCAGAAAATCTTACACAATGGTTCTGAGGGCACAGATGTAGTGGGCATTATAGTCCACTATATATAGCTATACAACGTCATTATGCAAAATTTAACCTAGGATAACCAATAAAGTTAAACAACAAGCTTTAGTCACTGATGGAGATGGGCCCTCTCGAGTCATTTACATCATAAACATGTCCATCACCTAAATTTCATCTATTTTAACATTCAAGGCGGTCAAAAGGTTGATTTTTATATAATTGGATGCAGTACACATGGAAGACACAATATTGCAGATTCACAAGTTTAAACAAATTCATGTAATAAGTGAATATTGCTCCTCGGCAACATTCACTTATTACATGATTTAAAACATAGTTTTTAAAATGTATAATATCAAGTTGAACTTACAACTAGAAGTAATATACTGTGTCACTGCTATATTATTATTGTTACAATCAGAACTAAGCACTAAAAACCCCCATGGATCACACAACATGGAGCCCAGCTAGAGTAGAAACATTGGACGTGATTCTTTCCACCTGTTGTCTATGTTCCCCATCAGTAAACTGGGTACCTGGGTGTTAGTCGACTGGTGTGGGTCGCATCCCGGGACACTGACCTAATTTGTCCGAAATGCGAGAAACAAGGGAGGGTTTTTATATGTAGTATGTCCCTTGTTGTCAGTTTGGACTGTATACCTTGTACATGTACTTGTTAGTAAATAAAGATATTATTATTACTGGTATAAAGTGGGC